GGTTGGAGCGCCAATGCTGGCTTCCCACTGCAGAGGCTGTGGGGGAGCCCCAAGCCTCATGGGCCAGATTGAAATGTTTTAGAATACTCAAAGAACTGATAGAGGAGATATCTGAGGCTTTAGCTGTCATCTTTGAAAAGTGATGGAAGTCGGGAGAGATTGCAGAAGACTGGAAAAGGGCAAATATAGTGTCCATCCATAAAAAGGGAAATAAGAACAACCCAGGAAACTACAGACCAATCAGCTTAACTTCTGTGCCAGGGAAGATAATGGAGCAAGTAAGGAATTCATCTGCAAACATCTGGAAGATAAATAAGGTGATATGTAACAGCCAGCATGGATTTATAAAGAACAAATCATGTCAAACCAATCTGATAGCTTTCTTTCATAGGATAAGAAGTCTTGTGGAAAAGGGAGGAGCCATGGATGTGGTATACCTACACTTTAGTAAAGCATTTGATATGGTTTTGCATGACTTCCTTATCAATAAACTAGGGAAAATACAACTTAGATGGGGCTACTATAAGTTGGGTGCATAACTGGCTGGATAATAGTTCTCATAGAGTAGTTATTAAGGGTTCACAGTAATGCTGGAAGAGATTTGGTCATAAGTACGAACGGTCATAAGTCGACTGTTCATAACTTGCAAACTGGCTGTATCTTTGCACTGTTGCTATATGAAAGACTTTCAAACAGGAAATTGACTATGGACAGAATGAAATTTACTTTATACCAAGCAGTGTTTAATGAAACTGAAGAATATTTTTTCTCCACTCTTTTAGTTACACTAATCTTAATTGGTATAGTAATACTGGAAAAAATCAGAAGTATTATTTTTAAACTGGCAGTTGCTTCTTCATCTGACAATCTACTGTGAGCTACTTATTTCCTGGGGCACTGTCACCTGTGTATGGCAGCAGTTGGCCTATTCTATCCCAGTTCTTTTAACCATGCTCTGCAGTCATATTTAACTGTGAGGGCACAGCATGGATCCTCAGGTAGGGTGGGACCAAATAATGGATTAGGCCACTGAGACTATTCTAGCTTAGGAACAGGGATACCTATGTGTATATTAGTCCCAGTAATCAATGCCATTAATTGGTTGTGCCTTGCCTAGGTATCATACTGGCGGACTATGCACATTTACAAGAAACCACATAACAATTCTGAACAACCAAGTTGGTAGTAGGGATACATCAAACATCGAATGTACAAACTATCACATTTTGGCTGTGCTCTGTGACCATAAAGTGGTGAGGTACAATCGTCTAGATTAGTCTCAAAGTGTGTTCCAAAAATAATGAAGTTAAAGAATTTAACAGCATACGTTAAATTACAGTAGGTCTTCAGGGAAACTGATTTGTGCAGCTGAAACCCAAAAAAGCTTTGCAATTGCTCTCACTTTATTGGGGGCAGAATTAGACAGAATCTTGCAAAAATAGATCTTTAAGAAAGAGGATTGTGTGCCTTACTAGGAGATGTTTTCACTTTCCTGTGTCATCTTTATGGTGTTTTCTAAATCCAAGACTTCTAAATATACAAGTATATACAAGTAGATTTAAAATGAGTTTCTAAAGAGATACCTACTCTAATTAGGAATATTAAGTAGTGGTTAATAAGCTAACTGAGTAGTTAGGAATTTCCATTGAATACTTGATTAGTCGATAAGGAGGCTAGCTCCCTGGGGTGGCACAAGCTGGGACTGAGCAGGAGGGACTCAGTTTGAGCTGGGACAGCTGATTCCCGGCTCGCATCCAGTCCCCTGCTGCACTTGAGCCTTTTAAATGTATTAAATGTATTAATGTATTCCAGCTCTTAATACATTTAAAAGGCTAAAACACATCGAGGCGAGGGGCACACTACATGAATGGGACAGCTGATGCCCGGCTGTGCACCATCCTTTTAAATGTATTAAGCGCCAATAGTCTCTTAATACATTTAAAAGACAGAGCCGCAGCAGGTTAGTTCCTGGGCCAGAAGCTAACCCTGCTGCAGCTCCCCTGCTTATCAGCTAGTCAATGGAAAATCCATTGACTAGTCCATTAGTTGATTAAGCTAAATTTGACATCCCTATCCTATATACCCATTGAGCAAAGTTCAAAAAGCATTATAAGAACTTAACTTGGAAGGCAGTGCAGAAGACTATATAATTTTATACAGTATCTGTGATTAGGATATTTTTAGATATTTGAGAGACATGAATTTTCTCTTCAGTATTTAATTTTGTGGCATTACTTTAAATTAATGTGATTACATTAATCTTTAATTTCTGCCAGGTTACAGTTCCTCTGAGTCACCTCATCAATGCCTTCCATTCACCAAAAACCTCAGCTACTTCTGTCAGTACAGCATCTATTCAGCCTCTACAGAGGGATACAGCCCCAGAACATGATGTTCAAAGCAGTGAGGTAATAAGAATTTTGGAACGACTAAGGATTATATGTATATTTAAATAAGCCCTGATGATGTATCATTTAAAATATTGTAAGATTTGCTATCTTACAGCTAGTGTGATATGTTTGATGTAAATATTCTGTGGATTCCATGTATTAGAATAAGAGACCATACTTTAAAGAAATAATTTTTAAATGCCACCATGTTTTTGTATAATGAAAAATGTGTAGTTTATTTTTATATATGGCCATTGAGGTTATGCTTATTACTGTTCTAGCTAGGTGCTGTAATTAGAAGTAGGGACTTAACTTGATAACTGTTTGAATGGTTAACCAATAAGCTTGGGCTTACTGATTACCATGAATAGTTATATGCAGGCTCCCGCCCAACTCCTGGGAAGCCAGATACCGCTTTGTGCTGCTAGCTCTGTAGCAGAGCCAGCAGCACAGAGTGGCAGTTGGCTCCCTTGGAGTAGCACAGGAGCAAGCTAAGGATGTAAAAGACTAGTCGACTATCTGATAAGCATTTACTTATTGGATAGTATTTTGACTAGTTGATATCTCCCCTCTCCCCCTCTTTGCTGCTTCTGTGGATCAGCTGTGCAGCGGCTGCCCCTTTAAAACACCGCCTCTGCAAAGTGGCACCCTGGAACCTGGGGTCAGCTGGAGAGTCCTCAGCTGATCCTGGGCTCCCCGCGGCATTTCCCCGGAACCCGGGATCAGCTGCGAAGTCCCCAGTTGACCTGGGGTTCCGGGGAAGTGCTGCGTGGAACCCGGGGTCAGCTGCGAACTTCCCAGCTGATCCGGGGTTCTGGGGAAATGTTGCAGGGAGCCTGGGATCAGTTGGAGAGTCCCCAGCTGACCCGGGCTCCACAGCAGCTACCCCTTTGAAATGCACGGATGTGGAAATTTAAAGGGGCAACCGCCACACAGCTGATCCCCAGATCAGCTGTGCGGCGGACTGCTCCTTTAAAATGCCATCTCTGCACAATTCAAAGGGGCAGCCCTGGAGCCCGAGGTCAGCTGGGGACTCCCCAGCTGATCCTGGGCTCCCCGTGGCATTTCCCCAAGACCCAGGATCAGCTGGGGAGATCCCCAGCTGACCCCGGGCTCTGCGCAGCACTTCCTCTGATCAGCTGTGCGGCAGCTGCCCCTTTAAAATGCTGCCTCAGCGCATTTCAAAGGGGCAGCTGCTGTGGAGGCCAGGATCAGCTGGGGACTCCCAGTTGACCCTGGGCTCCCCGTGACATTTCCCCAGAACCTGGGATCAGCTGGGGAGTCTCCAGCTGACCCCAGGTTCCGGGGAAGCGTTGCACAGATTCCCCACCTGACCCTAGGCTCCTAGTGGCCTGCAATGTAGCATGGAGCCTGGGGTCAGCCCACTGGGGACTCTTGTGCATTTCAAAGCAGGCACCCGCGTGCAGCCTGGAGTCAGTAGGACTTCCCACTGGCCACGGGCTGTGCCGGAGTTCTACATTCCCCCAACAGGTTCTTTAACCACATTTTAACATCCTTATTTGATACCGTCATGGCAATAGCACCTCAAAGATAGGGACATTAAAATGCATGTAACTGAATAAAGTACAGCAGTTATACATTTATACACGGGGTGGCAGCCCGATCCCCAGAAGCAGGTGTGCTGGCTTTTTAAGCGGCTTTCCACCACGCACCAGCTGCTGCCTCTGTATCAGAGGCAGTAGCACAGGGCAGCAGGCAGTTCCCTGGGAGCTGCACCAGAAGCCACAGATAGCCATTTGGGTAATGGGAGAATCTACAGGGAAAGCATTTACATAGGAGCCAGCTGCTTTCTTTTTGCTCTCCCTTAGGAAGAGATACTGAAATTGGTTCCCCATCATCCACACCAGGTTCTGGCTACAGTACAGCGCCAGCATGGAATCAAACTCTCCTGAATGCAGAACATAAGCAGTCTCTCGAGGCTCACTGCAGCTCCATTAATGGTATAAAGCTACCTGAACCAAATCAGGGAGTGACAGAGTTTGGCAGAGCTGGCTAGCCACAGAAGAGAATTCTGCACCCACTGACAGTAGTTGGGGGAACTGCTGTTGCGGTAGGTGATTCCCAAGAACTGACCCAAAGTTGCCCCTCAAAACTCCCCCACTGTCCTAAGAATGTAAACTGCATCCTTACCAAAAGAGGAACCCAGTAGTAATTTAACGTTGGTGCTTCTTGTGTGAACACTGGTATTCTATGTGTGAAGAAAAAGAAGGCTAGGACACCTGCGAGAAACACAGAGTACAGGTTGTTAGTTATTCACACAGGTATCTGGAACTTCATCACTCATGAGGCATCAGTAAGAGAGCACAGCTGAAAACACACTCAGGCGTAGCTTATACAGGAGGTTGTGAGCAATAACTCTCTAGATATTAATTATCTACAGATCTGTATTCTTGATCAGAGTAGAAATGGCATATAAATGCATTTATCATAAAGATACTTGAGGGTCCAGAAAGACTTGAATCAATAGTTTTACTTAATGAGCCAGAATAGGTTTTATATCAAAACTAATAAATAAGAACCTACCATACAATAAAGTATATGGTAATAAAAAGACCATAAGATTGATCTTTAATAAAAATAGAGATATGTGAGCAAAAGCCTGAAGCTTTAGCTTTCAGCCCTTAGAGGAACATTTAGCTATTTGAAATTAAAAAAAGAAATAGCATAGCTACCGATAAATACACTTAACAATAAATCCATATCTACATACAGTAATTCTTCATCATATCTGTGCTACGCAGAAAAGAGAAGGCATGTTAACCAATTATCCTATAGAATGAATCCTTAAAAACGGAGGAAAACATGAGTCATTTTTAGCATTTCATGGCTTACATTTTAAAAACTGAGTTTCAAATCACATTTGCCTTCCATTTTGAAAGTCAGTCTACAGTAATGACAAAACATTACAGTTTTTATTGCAATTCTAATTTTCACTGCTGGTAAAAATAATCCATTTAAGATTAAAAAAAAAAAACCCACAGCATATAAAAACTGGGCATCAATGAAATCATGTTTTGAAACTCGAGTGACAATTTAAAAAGGCACTGACAACTTCAATTTTTCAAATAGACAATTTAAAAAAAAATCCATTTTCTGCCACAGCACACTGAACAGCATGTCCTGAATTTCGTTAGTATGAAAGGAACTGTAAAAGGGTTAGAAAAACGTATTGTCTGCTCCCCTGCTTCTGTTTGGAAGGATTTAGACAGCCCTGAGTGCAATAGCACAAAAGATGCTCAGGTGCACCACATCTCCTCCTCCACTCCCTTTTCTCTCGGTGTACACATCTGCAGTCTGCTTGCTGACAGTTCAGTTTCAGTTATAGTGCTGCTGGTACATACCCTCTTGCACACCACAGGCCTAGCCTTGGGAAGGGTGTGCATCTGTAACACACTGGGAATGGCCTATTACAGGTTTCTCTCCATGCCAGATTCACAGAAACTATGAGCCTGTTACAATCCAAGCAGGAAACTTAAGTCCCTACACTTTGAACTAATGTTTTTAATTCTGGAAGTTCCCAGTTCAATCCTCAGTGTGTCAATTAAGATGGCTGCCATTACACAGCCACAAAAGAACAGTGTAAATGGTTATGCAAAAAATGTTATGAAATATACAAAGTGAACTGGAAAAAAAGGAGGGGAAAATAGGTTTCTTTGGGCTCAACACTGAAATTCTTTGCTGATGTGATTTGTGCTGACAGTATCAAGGTTTACAAGAGCATGTACTCAATGTGTTGTCTGAGCACCACAAGTTTAGCACTTTCTAAGCTACTAGGGAGTAAGAATCAACATTACACTGAAATAACTGACTTACCTACACCACCAGCAACGAGAAGTTTCCCAAGGAATAACAAGAAGTCTGTAACTTTGTCCAGCACTGCAACTCTATTCAACAGAGGACAAACCATGTTTGAGCACCTCAAAGCAGAACATCTCAACTCTTTTCATAGTCTATGAAATCCATGGCTGATAAAACTGGCTCAGAAATATCATTGTCTTGCACTGATCCTTTGGCCATCCATATAACAATGCAAGAAATCAACATGGGGAAGAAACAGGGGGGTGATATTTTAGAATTCTTGCTATTAAATATCCAGCCTTGTGAGGCGCTAAGGAGATTTGACTCCTAATGAAAGGTGAGAACACTCAGCACCTTTCTCAACGGCGGCCATACAGCACTTGTAAACTATTCATTGGTTTTTGCTCTTGTGGATTAAATAAATTAGCATGTTTCTCTGTTTCAGCCTTTTCTTCACAGCAGGATCACAGACAGGCCAGCCCTCGATGGAGGTGAATTGGGCACCCCAACATAAGAGAGCTAGCCTTTGTACATGCTGTCTGTAGACTTTGGCCTATTTCATTCAGTCCTTGCAAGCCACATTGCCTCTGCTTTCAAAACGGGCTGAAACCTCCAGGTTTTGTTGAAGTGTCTCAGCACAGCACAACAGGGGGCAATCTCAAAGCAGGCAGTCAACCTCAGGTGAACGAATGCAAAGAGTCAGAAAAACTGACAGATAAGTCTGTGTTGCTCAGACTTCCTTGTAATCAGACTGAAAACAACAGGAAGGAAAAGAGGCCAGAATAGGGGCTTATCGTAGGGTGCCTCCATTCAAAATCCTGCCTGACTCCTAGCATGGAAGGTGAGGCCTGTATCGTGAGACACTTGACAGCAATGAAGGCTCAGGATATAGTACTGCAATGTACCTGGTAGCGTGAAATAAACATTCAAACAAACCATCATAAGCCCATTAGGAGTTAGAACTAGAATATACAGAGCAGAACATTCCAATTCAAAACAATACAAGATTTGCTTTGCTCCCAGCTGCTGTTCTTCGTCATTAAGAGCAAAAAGCAGCATAAGGGACAGGAGTGGCAGTGATAGCTAGGGCCATGAACTTGTCACTGAGGTCATAGTAATCAAAGCTGGAGTAAAGTCTGTGAAATCTTGGAAATGACTGTAAAAACATATTGATGAGGCCCCGAATTGAGTAGTGTTGCAACCTAGTGCATGGTGTGTCAGTACCAATAAGGTCTGGCCTGTCTGCCTTCATCTACAGAGGGGCAGATGGGCCAAACCCAGAGTAGCACTGCAGATTGCAATGCCCAGATCAGGGCTATCCCTGGCTTAGAAACTCCATTCCCCCAGTCTTTAACCTCATTCACTTCTTATTCAGTGTCTCTCCCACCCTGCTCCTCACTGTCCATACCCTCTTATCCTTCCCTGAATAATTTAAGTGCCTAACTTCCTCCAATGTGCCTCTTTCTGGTAATTAGACTCCAACATGGCATGCTCCTAAGGGTGTGTTCTAATTAGCACCTGCTCCCATTCTTTTTGATCTTCCTGTATTACAGGAAGCGCCAGGAGCACGGAAGAAGAGGCGTGCTGATTAGCAGAAGGAATTCAACAGCAGCCCTAGCAATGAAGCAAGAGGGTGGGGGTTCAATTCTAGGAAGAAAACCTATTAAAAAACTTCAGTTTTAAAAGCAAAAGACTCGCTCTCTCCCTCCCTACCACCCTTCCATCTCCCTCTCCGCTCCCTTGCCTCCGCCCCAAGTTTCCTTACAGGGATTTTGAGGCTTAGATCAAGCTGTGTCTATTATTAGAAAATGTGAACCCAACGTTAAGCCTGACAAGCTGACCCCAGAAACCATGGCAATGGGTGCCCTATAATATGTAATAAATCAACAAAAATGTTCTCAGTTGCCCCCTGCTTTCTTGACAGCCCTGCTGCTGCTATCAGGGATGCCTTGCCACCTACAATGTCAACCAATTATTCCACAGCAAAGCTGTCTGTCAGGTTGGATAAAATCATCCTAGCTCCGGCTACTGACTGTCTAGTGCTCTGGCTTGCCAGATGCATGAGGAGCTGCTAAAAGGGAAAGCTATCTGTAAAGGCAGAACCATTAGTTTTCTAGGGAGAAAAAGTGAGTTTTCAGAGTGTAATAGCAGCACTAAGAAACACATTCTCTTACCTCACCACATTCCGCATTAACAGAAAGAACGCTTCCTTTGCTGAGGTGCAGAAGTTTTTACCATATATCGCAATCTGCAAAACAGTAAACGCTGATTAGCTATATAATGAACAGTCAAGGAGAATCCTAAGTTTTCTATAGCTTTATGCAAATTAACACATGGAGGGCACTACACATTTCTTTCTTATCTGTGATCAAACCCATCCACTTCCACATATCCATAATCATCCCACAGCACACTTCACACTTCCTATTACTTCTCACCAGATGCATTTCCCAGCCCACCCACTTCTCCAAATCAGGTGTTTGTGAAGCTCTCCAGCTTCTTGTTAAGCTGCTTGCAGGAGGGAAAGGCAGGGGGAGACCATACTTAGTTATGCAAATAGAGCAGCTGTGGAACACAATCCCTGCCACTGCTTGCCTACAGTCGTGGAACTGAGGATGACAAGTTGCGGGGAATGTAAGGGGAACTGTTGTGGTCTCTCCTTTCACAAACAAGCCTAACACCACTATTGTGATTTGTGCAAGGATTAGTGCATGATAACTCAATGCAAAAAGCTGCTTTAAAAGAAGATTAAGGCTACAGATGAGCCAGAAGCAAAACCCAGGCTCCAAATGCTGCTGACCTTTCATAGAATCATAGGGCTGAAAGAGACTTCAGGAGGTCATCGAGTCCAACTCCTGCTTAAAAGCAGGACTAATCCTAACTAATTCCAGAAGCTTCAGGGGGTTAAATCATTCCAGCCAGGGCTCTGTCAAGGCAGGACTAAACACCTCTAGAATGGAGATTCCACCACCTCCCTAGGTAACCCATTCGAGTACTTCACCACCCTCCTAGTGAAAGAGTTTTTCCTAATATCCAACCTAGACCTCCCCCACTGTAACTTGAGACCATTGCTCCTTGTTCTGCCATTTGTCACCATTGAGAACAGCCTCTCTCAATCCTCTTTTGAACCTCTCCCCTTCCCCTCAGGTAGCTGAAGGCTGATATCACAGCCCCTCGCTCTTCTCTTCTGTAGATGCTTATTTAGTCCAAATTCTTCAGCCTCTCTCATAAGTCATGTGATCCAGCCCCCTAATCACTTCTGTTGCCCTCTGCTGGACTTCTCCAATCCTTTCTGCAATGGGGGTGGGAGGGGGCCAGAACTGTATGCAATAATCCAGATATGGCCTCACCAGTGCCAAATAAAGGGGAATAATCACTTCCCTAGATCTGCTGGCAATGCTCCTATTAGTATACCCTAGTATGCCATTAGCTTTCTTGGCTACAAGGGCACACCTTTGAGGAAATTCACCTTTGTGGAAATTCAGTCTAGATTTCAACTCTGCAGCTCAGTCTTTTGCTAGTGGAATCACAAACCAATAAAATCCATCTAAGGCAACCTCCCATTCATTAATACTGCTGTTCTTATTACTCGGATCTAGGGATGTTAAAAATGTGTGTTTTTTGGTAAACGTGAATATGCTGAAATGTATCCGTGGCAGGAGCGGGGGGGTGGAGGTGGGGCGGCACAGGTGGGAGCCGGTGCTCACAGGGAGCCAGCTTCTGCGGAGCCACCTGCTTCCTCCCAAATCCCTGTGCTGCTGCCATGGTCTCAGATGGGATGGTTTATGGATACAGAGGCAGCAGCATGTGGGAGGAGGCTGTGGGTAACCATTTACACTATCACATCCCTCCTCAAATCAGATGCCCTGCACATCATTGAGATCTTACACCAACATAGATCAGGAGTAATTTCATTGAATGGCATTATGTCAGCGAAATACTGTAGCAAGATTAAAACAGGCCCTACTTGTTCACAGCTCTGCAAAACTACAGCATTATCAGGGACCAGGTTCAGCTCACTACTACTTCTAATTAGCTTTGAATTTAGTTAATCTGGATTTTCATTTGTGTATATGAAAACACAATGTGTCCAAAAAGTTGGAAAGAAGGGCAACAGTTCTAATAGGCACATGCCTTGCTTTTCTTGGACAACCTCAGTATTATTTTAATGTATATTGTTTAGTGCTTTAAAAAAACCACACATACACAGAAAACAAGCTTACTTTGTCTATATTGGAAAATTGACTGGCCTAGCTAGTGCAGAATTCTCTACAAGATGTTGTAGGAAAGCTGCCTGTGTGTAGACTCAAATAAAAGTGATTTTATTCCAGAGTAATTTCCCTGTTTAGACAGTGTAATAAACTCACTTTTATTCCAGATCAGAGTGTCCACATGGGGGAGATATTCTGGAATAATTACATAATACCACAATAATTAATATTGGTCAATTTTCCCCATGCAGATAAGAATGTTGAAAGAAAATGTTCATCTCCTGAAAACCACTAATTCTGAGATCCCTTTGGAGTGCATAAGGTTTTAATGAAACCATCACAGTCACCTGCTTTAAGTGCTCTGAGACAGTAAAATGCTTTTCCTGAAAATGTTTCAGGTCACAGCAAGATAACATGGTTGAATTCTGCTCATGTTTACAAGAGGGTAAATCTAGAATGTAACCCTGAAGCCAATGCAGCACCTCTGCAATTACACCCCGGGAATTCAGAGCAGAATTTGGCTCGATGATTTTACTGGCAAATATAAGTGCTGAGTGTTTGGAAGCTTCCTTGTTCACAGCAGCACATTTTAACAAAAGCATCATGTCAGTGTGTAGTATTCAGTGACTGCACACTGTATCCCCACTTCTGATGGATACTGGTAGGGAGGAAAAAGAGGGATGGGGTGGAGGAAAAGGATATTATCAACTGGGCATATGAATTCCTCCAAAGTCATCAAATTCCAATTCTTTACCTTCTAGAGTCACAGTGACAGACTGTAGCCAAAGCTAAAGAGCAATACATTAAATTCTTGAGGACAGCAGGTACATTGACACTGCACATTCCTTATAGCAGCTTGTAGAGTACAGACACTGTACGCCCCCTAGCACAGGAATATACAGCAGTTTAGATGACAAGGCACAGCTTAGGTGAGTAAAGACACTCCAGTACCTTAGGGTATGTACCCTGCAGTAGGGATGTTAAAGTGTGGGAATTTAACTAATCAAGTAGTCGATGCAATTTTTATCAACTACTCAATTAGTTGACAGGCAGCCCGACTCAGTTCTGGCTCGTGCTGGGTGCAGGACCAAACCCCACTTCAGCTCTGCAATTTAAAAGGCAGTAGGAGCCGGATAGCCTGCTCCCCAGCTCCTACTGCATTCTAACTTGCAAAGCCGTAATGGGTTTGGTCCCGCACCCAGCCTGAGCTGGAACTCAGCAGGGCTGCCTGCCCAGCCAGTATTTGCCCCTGTGCACGGGGGTCCCAGCAGGGATTTGGGACCTTCTGTGCACAGGGACTGGTGCCGTGAAGCAGCTCCTGCCCCCCACCCCAACCTCTGACAGAGGCAGCGGGGGTGGTAGAACGGGTGGCAATGAGGAGATGGTGCTGGGGGAAAACGGCTTTTAAGACAGCTGCCCCCCAGCATTGGCTCCTGCTTCCCCCCACTTTGGGGGGGGGAGGAATGCGAATAGTCGACTGGTCAACCACTCCTTTACATCCCTACCCTGCATAGCTCTCTACATGCCCAAGCGGTGCCTCTCAGGTCTCCACTGCTATTTTGAGCAG